ATCCTGTATATATACATATATATATATAAATTCTGTACGTGTATCTCTGTGCCGCGTCGCTGTTCGTATCACGGGGCGATTCGTACTTCCGGGAAATATCTAGACACGGTGGGAGAGAGCGTAACTCCCTAGCGTTTAACCGCGCTATAGACGACTTCAGCCACGCGTACGATTCACCTGGGTGTACACGGTGATATAGAAGTTTAGCAATCGTAACGGGGTTGGGATCGAACGGGGGGGGCGGGCGAGAATTTACAGGGCCGTAGGTGCTACCCAGTGTTACGTAACGATAGCCTGGATATGCTATATCGTAGGCTTGCTGCAACCGATCACGTTCGCGTGTCGAAACTTGCCCGACGTGCTTTGCTACCGCTGCCGCTGCCGCTCTCCGTCTCGTCGCCGACGACAAAGCGCGACTATAAAGGCGACGAAGACGTTTCGTCTAATGGAAGTTGTTGCTGCTTCATACAAGGATACCTACTGGGAGGCAATTTAGAAAAGATAAAGTTAAAATAAAAGATAGAGTTAAAATACGACGCCATTGAAATTCTCAGGAAGCAGCAACAGCGTTCCCCTCGCGTCACAGACTTTCATCGTTAGATAAAACGATTCATCATCTCGCATTCCGATACTTCCTGTCCCCGAACGGTCATCACAATCTCTGTTTTATTCCGACGGGCATTTAAGTGTTACATGCATAGTTACGTAGATTGAACGAGAAATTTATAGAAATGCATGAGATCGTAATAGAGAAGCTTTGTGTAATTAATTCGTTGCATTTAGATCGCCGTAGATCATTCGATTCGTGTAACAGTTTAATCTTAAGCAAGTTTTCGACGCGTAGAATAATTCTGTAGTGGATATGATTTATAATTTTCAAACTGGAAACGAGATTGTTATATGTTTGCGATGAGTGATAAAAACGTGTTATGCATGGACGCTGGAACTGTTTTCTTCAAACGTACTCGTTTGAACGAGATCTGAATTCGATCTACGACCTTGTATGAGGCGCGGTTATTTTAAATTCGTACGGGGATGAAACGCGGTTTCGTTCGGGCCGGGCGTCCCGAAAAGTACCCACTGCACTCTCCGCTTTTTCTCAGGGCCGTCTCGACGCGGATAGTCGCCGGCATGTGGTGGTTCTTCACTTTGATCATGATTTCTTCGTACACTGCCAACTTGGCCGCGTTCCTCACCGTCGAGAGGATGGATTCGCCGATCGAGAGCGCCGAGGATCTCGCGAAGCAGACGAAAATCAAATACGGAGCTCTCAAAGGAGGGAGCACCGCGGCCTTTTTCAGGGTAAGATCGCATGAATAACTTGCCGAACGTGTTACACAAACGTTCGCGTAATCATCCCGCCGATGCCTTTTTACCAGCTATTGACGAATCGCGCGGGCACGTGCGTCGAGCACGAAAATCGTATCTGCAAGTCTCGAACGTATTGCGAAAAAATAAGAGAAAAATATTGAAAGGAAAAGTGGGTTTTGCTTTAAAAGAAATTACGACGTCCATTTGTAATACTGATTCTTTATTGTAAGATTTTTATTTAATATAAAGAAGGAAATCCCTTGAAATAAAATCTAGATATCACTTTTAATGATTGATTCTCAAGTGAGAACAAAAGACGTATTTTCAATTTTCAAACGTCTTGCATGTTTTGCTTCAGAAGAAATTCGATTTATACTACTTATCCTTAATTACTATAGATTACACTAAATAAAGTCCTTAAAATAATACATCAAGTCCGAATAGTTAATCTTCAGAGGTCAGCCTAGCATAGAAAACAGTCGTTTGCGTTGTTCGGTAGTTAAGAAGAGCGACAGGACGCAGACCGTAAATGTGATTGCTGTAGAATCGCAGGGAACCGCGTATGTAATAGGCCTCCTTGAAGATTAACCAATTTCGGGCAACGTTCCACCGTTTAATGGCATGCGTGCTCGACCATGAAATTCCTGGCGTGATCTAGGATTCCAATTTCTCGACGTACCAGCGCATGTGGTCCTTCATGGAGTCGGCAAAGCCGACGGTATTTACAACGAGCAACGTCGAGGGCGTGGAACGGGTGATCAAGGGTAAGGGGAGCTACGCGTTCCTAATGGAATCCACCTCTATCGAATACGTAATCGAGAGAAACTGCGATCTGACACAAGTCGGCGGTCTCCTAGACTCCAAGGGATACGGCATAGCCATGCCGCCAAGTAAGTGTGAAGGTCGTGCGCCTGGACGACGATTAGTCCGCTCGTAATCGATACAGACGACCGAGCGTATAAACTCGTCGATCGGGCAGACCGTATTAGCCGATTACGCGCGGACGTGTATACGTTCAGACGGGGACCGAGCCGTTCCGGCCGATCGACGCGTATATCCTTGATTTATGGCTCTACGGTAAACGGCATCGAATCGGAAGGATAATTTTTCACCCTAGCCGTCCGGATTTATTGGGGAATTAGAAGAACGTCGATCCGCGTTTTGTCCTCACCGAATTTATGGTAAATATTCTGTCGGATCTGACGCCGCGCGGGAAACGCGCGTTGATCGATCGCCGTTTTAATGAACCCCGGGAAATTTAGACGCTCGACTCGTTTCAAGGTGCTAGAAAATTGACGAAAATTATCGTTCTAATTTTGATACCAACAGTCATTTCTGTCGCGGTTCATGTTTTAAGTATGTATTGGCTATACAGTCAATCCCAAAAGTTTATGCACTTTAGAAACGCATTTGCTAGAATCAAAAAGAAACCAGACGACGGAGGAACAATGATTTTGGA